CAAACCACAGGTTCTTAGCAGTGCTCATGGAGAACTTGCTCGGACATCAAGTTAAGCACGCTGTGCCCACACACCCAATCTTCAAGAAGTGAAGTAAAGATCAGTATGCCATCATATTCATTTTCAGGGCACACCAAAGAAGCCAAATTAGTTGTCTTTCATAAGATGAAATAGCCCTCACTATAACAACAACTCAGAAAGACAAGGGTGTTGATGTTTTTGGTTGGCCATGAACTAGCTCCTGGCTGTAACAGAAGTTTTACTTTAATATGCCAGTCTTCAATCTCTATGAAACAGCAAGAGAACAATGGGGTATATAGGAAAGATCCTGTTCAGATTTATTCAAGTATTCTTCAGTTAATATTCCCAGTGGATTTTGTGAGAGTGTGATAAAATAGGATCTTCTGGATGTGACCTACAAGAGAAGTCTGAATATCCTTTTCTGACTTTCTTAAAGTAATTGTTTGAGAATTTATTTCTTTCATTTAGAGTTATGGCTTTGAGGTCTATTTTCCCCTAGGAAATTAGGAACTCACTGAAGTTATCTGCCAACATAAAGGAGAACCTTTCCATGATGCTCCCCTGTCATCTGCCTGATCATCTCTGAACACAAATATCTGAAACTTTCTCATCCACCCACATGTTCTAACAAAGTTTGTTACAAAGTGCCTTAATCCACTGTGGGTAGCAAAGATGTCTGTGAGACCACTTTCTTTTCATGAAGATCATATAACTCATGGCCACTTTTTAGTCCATAATTTATATGATCCTGTGCTTTTGGATCATTATGGACAGAGCTTTAAGGCCTTGTTCAGTTTTAAAATATATTTAAAATATATATGTATATTGGCATAGGCATCTGTTTCTAGAATTTACATTATCTAGAAGTTTTTTGTTTTTGTTTTATTTTAAACATTCCCTACACTACTGGCAAAGCTGGTATACACAGGCTAACCTTTTTCTTAATAAAACCTACTCTTCTTGTTGCCATATGCAACAGAGTGAGTGCACTTCCAGGCAGCTCTGAGTGCTGGACATCACACAGGCTGGCAGAGCTTGAATCAGGTAATGTGAAAACTTCATTGGGGGATTATCAGTAGAACTGCACAAGATATTGGAAGAGGAGATAATATTTGCAAGAGATATGACAGCCAAGCTGCCTTGAAAATCTCTGAAGAAAAACAAGTTTTACCTTATGTAACCTACTTTAGGCCAAACAAGGAATCTCACTTAGGACCAGATCCTGCTCCCTCTGAAGTAAGTGGAAAACTTTCCATTTGCTTCACTGTAGAGGATCAGACCCACAGGGATTCTAGTTTGTCTCTATAAACAGGATAAAGAAGCAAAAGAAACATCTGAGGCAACTTGTATTTCCTGGCAGTGAAGGTACCAAAAAGTAAAAAATCCTAAAGCTTTAGTCAAAAACATTTTAATCTACATTTGCTTTCCTCTGTCCATAGTTATTTCTCATGAACCAGAAAGATAATTGTGAAATGTTTGGCAAATGGAAAGGAATTTGGTCTAGATTCAGTATTCAATCTGTGTGCACTTTTTGCTTTGTAAACATTGCATGTTCTGGAAGCAACCCTGGACTCAGATAAAATACGTTATCGAAGCAGATTCTAAACCTGAAAACTGTTCCTGACTTTGCTGGAATTTAATAAAGAAACCATGCACTACAAAGCAATACTTGTAAACCTTGCAACAGCAGTATATGGGACAGGAGTACTTCCCAATGGTGGAAGATGGTGTATTCAGGTGGCCAGATCCTAATAGTTGTTTCCATTGTAAGGACATATTAATGCCCAACATTTAAAAGAAAATGCACCTCTCTAGTTTCTGCAGCAAAATGTAATGTCAATAGACAATTTCCCATACTGACAAAGGAGCAACCTTAAAAAAAATTGAATACTAAAGATTGTGAAATTCACAATTTTATCCTTAGCTACCAAAAGAAGCTATTTAAGTTGGATATGGCATCTATGTGTCTCTTGTCTTTGGTGTGAGGAAAGGATACAGAAGACAAGAAAATGCCACTGTTTCTAGCAACAAACTCCAAATTCAAGATATGTTTGCCCAGAAGTTTCTTGCCTATTGCTTACAGTTCCCATCTTCATTTCCCCAAATCTCTCTTCTGTCTGACATGATATTCTTGGTAGTTAATAAGGGAAATAAGATCTAGATCAATTGCATTGAGGTGGCTGCATAACTCATTACCAAAAAAGATGATGTCTGATGTCTAACCAAGGGATCAAAGGACATTTCCATTGTATCTTATGGAAGAAAGACTACATTATTCTTGCTCTACTCAGTTTTTGCTAATGACCTATGAGCAAATAGAGTATGCATGACACTATTTAAGATTCCAAGCTAAAGTAATTAAATCCCATTTGGAGGTCTATCTGACAATTTGCATTTGTCTTGTATCATTAGATCCTACGATATCATGGCATCTGTGATGGTAATTGTCATACAGCTGCATTTCTTATTGGTATCCCCTATGAAAAATCTAGAAGAGAATGGATTGTCATGTCTGAATCGACAGATCCACAAATAAGCTGATGATTGGCAGGTCATCTAATAGTAATACATCATCTATTCCTTCCAAAGTGGAGTTGAAAAGTGCTGGTTTAAAACTGCCAAGAAATGTGCTTTAGTCTTCTCCATTATTTTGCTCTGTATAGTGTCAGTGTAGCAATGGTACAATTATTACAAATGGAAGAGATTTTGCTCAAGAGTAATAAAAGCAGACTTACAAAGTAGCAGAGTTATGTATCTCCCAAGACCTAAGTGCAGAATAATCTCACGTTTTGGGCCTATCCCATGGCAAACAATTACAGTTGTTTTCTACATGGACTTGTTTTTGTTTTTGTTAACCACAGGAAAAAAAAGAACAAACATCACATGAGGACTCTGAAATCTTAAGAGACTGAGACTGCTATTACTTATGCCTTTCTGTGGTCTGTATTTTTCCAGCATTTTATTTACGTACTTGAAAGCAGACAAGGAAACATGAATTTTGCTCTGCCTTCATGCTGTGATATCACCCACGCTATCCATATGAAAAACTGTCTTGAGACTTTCTCTGCCCGTGTGTTTGTTAAATATTAGATATGGCCAGCAGAATGAATCAGTGTTTGTTTTTAACATCTTTTTCTCTGTTCTGCTTTAATCACTATGGGAAAGCAGAGCACTTTTCATGTCTCTACTAAGAAAGGAGAATTACAAGATGAGAAAGATTACTGTTATAAAGTAGTTTGGCTGATATGAAATGTATCATTGGTGTTTTCCAATCAACAGCAGAGGCCTTTTCCTTCTGCACATAGGCAAGAAAGTTACCATACCATAAGATGCAGAGTTATATGCTTACCTAAATGCCCTCATTCTAGTGGATTTTCACTGTATAAATGAAAGAAAATAGCAGTAAAATAATATGATCAGCTTTACCCCCAGCTAATGTGACCTGGGAGTAGAATTTTCAATTTCAACCACAGTTCTCTGGTCAGTAAAAAAAGGAAAACCAGGGAAGGATATGGTAAGAACCTTTCAGTCATATCAGCAGAAAGAACATCAACTTCTCTCTAAGATCACTGGGGGAAAGGGGACAAGAAAGAGTCACCTTATTTTGGCAGACACTGAGAAAGAATTTTCAAACTGTTGAAGTGAGAACAGTTACTGAAGGATGTTGTTGATTCTCTTTCATCAAAATAAAAAATAAAAAAAACAAAAAACCAACAAAAACAGTTCATCAGGCATTCACTAATGCATGGCTGAATGGCTTGGGTATGCCTGATAATACCTTAATGCAAGGTCTTATACTGTTGTCTTCTCCAGCCTTCATCTAGAATTCTAGAGGTAGTTAAAACTCTGGAAGGCTTTTCTCACTTCCCGCTGCCCTTGAATTCCTGATTAGACAAAGACTTGATAATATCTACGGATAATATCTATGCCTGTATTGGATACTGAGATGCATCCACCCCCTTGTCTCCTGAGACATGACTCACTCGTGAAATGTGTTTCATCAAAACTGCTTCACCTTCTGCCCCATGAAGTCACTGATGGCACAAGAAGATTCTATTCCCTTGTGACCAGAAGAAAAAAAAGATCCAGCCACAGTTTACAATGGTTATGTCAGTAATACACACAATATTTTTGTTTTCCTCTTCTGATGGGCAGTGTTTATTCTTCTACCAGCTGTATTCATTTAGCCTGTTATTCATGTACTTGGTTTCACCATGTGTGTATTTAACAGTTTGCAGTGTGGAGGATGCACTCTTTAAACAGCTTTTCTCCACACATTTTGTCTTATGTGGGTCTATATTAGTAGTTATCAGAATCTGATAACATCTCAATGTTAAAATACTGTAAATTAGCTTTATACCACAGATGGAACAGATTCAGAAATGATTTTGCAAATATTGTGAAAGTCATACAGTCCTAATCATCTGTTCAATATCTGCATCTGAACCTAGAAAACCTGAAAGGAAGACAATGAATACACATTCCAGAAGAAATTAAACCAAACTATACATCAAATGGGACAGAGATTAGCTGAGGATGTACTTCTTAGGTCTATTGTGTTAGGGTACACCAGGGTCTAAAAACATGAGGGTTATGTTGGCTTTCAAAACCCATTACAGAGACAGACATCCTACTGGAACGGTGACATCATTGACTAGTTTAAAGTGGCTTGAGCTCTCTCAATGATGTATGTGATTTGACAAACCTGGATGTTTGGTTAGCATCATTTCCCTTTGACTGTTATTATACTCCTACTATATAATACTTGCAGCTAAATCAAAACATAAACAGCAGTAATTACCAACAAATAGCAACATCTAAGTATGCATATAAATACTGAACAGAGAACAGTCATGGTGTTATGGAAGAATATTCCTATGAAGTTTGGCTCCTTTTACTTTTTATTTTAGGTTCTAACAAATTTTAAGCAAATTGAAAGATACTAAAGTCTACTAAATGAGTGAATGTCATGAACTCACCACATTCTCCACCTCTCCTGTCCTGTTGGCAAGTTCACATTCTTCTGCATGCCCATTGCAAAAGCAGCTGCCCCGGATGATCAGGTCATAAATAGCATAATGGGCAAATCTCTGAGGTTTCTCTACCAATCCCAAACCACGGCATGGACATTCTTGTCTTTTTAACAAAAGGAGGCGGAGGTTGGTGAGTTTCAGGAGATCTTGAGCCTCAGGACTATAGGGATCTTCAATCTTGTTAGATGGAGTTAAGGCACGATAGATCACCTGAAATACAGAAGATACACACTCAGGAGAAGATGTAGGAGTCCGCACATGCAGAAAACATTGTGAGATGATGTTCAGGAAAAAGTAATAGTTCCTATTGAGAAGGCTCTGCATTAACAATTGTCTGGCTGCAAGTGATCCTTGAGCATGACCACAACTACCAACCTATGGCCCAGACACAGCAGGTGTCTGTACCTGCTTTCATCCCATCATATGTGTAATAGGAAACCAAGGCTTACTGGCATTAATACAACATTAATGCCATCCAAATTTCTCGAAGCATTTTTGGCACATGGCTTCACCACGAGTTCCAGAGTCTAGGGAGCTAGGGAGAGATGTGACAGAAGTGAGAACTGTGACCACACTTTTGGCATAGTCCCTTCAGCCATGCACTAGAAAATACAAGTTGGCTTAGGGTGAGTAGGCATTGAGAGAAACCAGTTTTCAAACAAAGCAAGCCAGTTTATTCATTGGAAGAGGAGAAATAGCTACACTGCAATGAGCTCACAGGACCACAGGGCTTTGTGCCTACCAGCTGTCTGCAAGTTGTAACTTTGGGTTCTTTAGCCCTGTCTTATAAGTGGTGACGGTCTCTGTCTAACTCCATTATGGGAGTGAAAGGTTTGTTTCCATATGGATTCCATATGGAAACTCAAATATGGGTTTATTTTTTTGTTTGTTTCTTTCTTAGTTGGTGTACCAAACAATTTAAACACTTGTAGCATATAAAAGAGCTTGTGGTACATGCTTGGAAGATAATTCTGTTGGATGTTGATGGCACGTGGGGAAATAAATCCCCTTAAATCAACAGGATCAGCTGCCAGGCTCTGCACAGAGCTACACCTGTCAGTAATGCAGTGAAGGCAGCAGTACATTTCACACCTCTCTGCAGCATTTTCTGTTCGGCTAGCTCTCGTCTTCCTTTTAATTCCCTCCTCTTGTACTGTCAGCTGTTTACAAAGCTACAGATACCCACATTTGTGAGATCAGAGGTGTCTTGTTTGATAGAGCCATGGGCAGTTTGCCCAGGCTGTGCAATGCAGGTGCCTACATTCCCCTGACCAAAGAAGCCATGACAAAATAGCCTAGGCCTTTCCACACCAAAGTCTACATTCCCCCAGTCAATGGAACCATGAGAAAATGACCTAGTCTGTTTTGTCCAGTGCCCAGCATTCCCCTTATTGATGGATTCAGAGGACAAAGACCAAATCTCTTCTGTCCGGTTCCCCTAATCCCACGTGGTCTGGTCTTTTTGGTGGAAGGTAATTTTATGTATCCCCTCTCCTTCTTCTGAGTCCCTTGTGGACCACATAGAGGTGGAATGGTTTCTCAGAGTCCTGAGCACCTGGTGATGTACAGACACACATCCTCCTCCTGCATGGGTGAGCCAATTCATCCAAGACCAAGGCAGTGAACTGAATAGAACTGCTCTGCTGACCTTCTAAGCTACAAGATCTCAAAGCAGGTTAAAAGCTAACTACTGGGACACTATTGGCTAAAAGTCCTTGTGAAACTTTTAAATTGGCATAAAACAGAGGAGTCAAGGGACAACTGTTTGATAAACAGCTTTTATAAGCTCCATTCTCACACCTGACTTCCATGTCTGCGGCATCTCTTCAGGAGAGTTGCTTTGATATTCCCTTAGAACTATCAGTGGTATTTGTGAGTAGGGATATTTATAGCTTAGATGTCCCATAGGAATTGCAACATTTGTTTACAAAAAAATGAGTATTCCATTCCAGTTGAGGTACAAGAGTTTGCATGTATGATTAATTCATGACGTATTTCTGTCTGGAATAAGCTCAGTGGTGAGGCTGGGTTTGTTCATCCTTGTCACCCAAAGAAAGATTTGTTAAATGTTAAAGATCTGATTTGGGTGGCATAATGTGTGAAATCTTTTGGGACTGGAAGTTATAGATGTTCTTCTTGAATTCAGCATTAAGAAATTAGATGTGAAACCAAAGATATTGAGGAGTTACTTAAAAATATTTTGTGTCAAGAGATTTAAAGTAGTTTTGTTTTGCCAATCTGAGTCAGTTTAGGTGAGCTGCATTTTGCATTGAGGCAGCAGTTTTAATTAGTATCAATAACAGCATTGTTTTATATATGTATAAAACTTGAAAATTGAATTTTCCCCCTCTTCATAAGTAGATTAATAAATTTAGATTAATTAGTAAATAATAGCAATGAAATAAAAATAATAAATTTAGATTAATAAACTTATATCTATAAAATTCTCTTAGAATTCCTAGATGTGGATGTTCAATGCATGTAGAATTTTCAAAATAACAACAGTAGGTCAAAGACAAGAGTTTGGCAGTCTCAATCATTTCTACATAAATGTTTGAAAGATCAGATTAGATATAGATCTAAGACTTAGTGAACTTATAGACTCATAAGCTGTGGGAAAAGATGATCCATCTCTCCACTGTGTTATTTGTTCTTCTGTGTATTTCACCAGATTTTGTTTTGCTTTCTGAAGCCTGTAAAGGACATGTGATCAAGCTCCATGGAAGTTCCATTCTTTTTTTTTCCTTTTTTCTTTTTTCTTTCTTTCTTGCTTTTTTTTTTTTTTTTTTCCTGTTCTAATAACTGTTCTAAGACTGTTCTAATACCCCCCCAGCCACTTCTCTTAGCATCTGTGTGCAGTTTTCATAAAAGTAGCATAAGCACAGAAGAAAATGTTGGTGACTAAGTCTGTTAAGGGCTGAACAACGTAGGCACAACCTAGAAATATTTCAGTTTCCATAGAAATGTGTCATGCACCTTTATGGGCTCAACCCTCTGTGGAAATACATCCTAGATCCTGAGTTTCCCTATAATCAGGGGCTGACACTGGAGCTGAATGCTGAGTAGGGCATTCATGCTTATCAGCATATCTGCTATCAAGCGCATATTTGTCATTCTCATTTTCCAAAGTCAATCAGCTACGCCTCAAAAAGATGGTCACTACCCTGTCCTCTCCTGACCTTTCTAAGAGCAAGGAAGTTTGGAGAATGCTGTAAGTGTGCAAAGCTAAAAGTGACAGCCACCGTTAAAGGACTGGTTTTGTTGTACACAAGTTGGCACAGCTTCACACAGGGTGATGTTTTATCCCCAGTCAAGAGGTCATCTTCATTCCAGAGACAGTGTCTCAGATTTTTGATTTTTTGCCACGTGTTTTGCCTCTCCATTTGTGATACAGATAATTCTGTTTTCTTAACCTGATCTTCCAGCCAGTATTAGTCAGAAAAGATGTGGACACAACAAAGGTTCCCCTTTGCAAGCTTATAGCCTAAGGTCAAGGAATATGAGACATAAATGGAGGGGAGAGCCAACTCATGGCCTCCTACAAAAGAAGATCCTTGTGCAGGACAAGAATTTGGTATTACAAATCATCCTTAAGCTATGCTGATCATGTTGCACACAATCAGGTTAATGAGGTCAGAAATGTCTGCATGCTTATACTAGGCCCCTCAGAAGGAAGCTGCAATAAAAACTCTCATCAGTCCTAAATCCTCTTCATTAAGAGATTTTCATGTGAGTTGATTTTGCTCATAAAGGAATAGTAAACAACTGTGTCTCAGAATTTTTCCTACCCAGTGGCAAATATCCTCTGATCTATTTGATGGAGCCTCTTGACTGAAATTCTTCCATCTTGTGGAACAGTAGACTTTACTACATGAGCAGTCTTCTCTTCCTGTTTTGATATAGTCTGAAGCACAAAGAAAGTCTAGGTATTCTCTTGGCTGTCAGAAAGCTCATTCCAGTGATTCATGGGATAGAGCTTCTTATTCCACATCCGCCACTCTTCTGCCCTTCTGGAGAATAAGACTTAGTAGCCAGTACAGAATATATAATTTCTTTCTTAAAGAAATAATTATGCATGTGATTTTTAAAAGGTATCTGATATAGGTAAACCTGGCTGCTTTCAGTACAGCGGTGTCTTGAATTCATTCTGTCTTTTCTGAAACAGAAATGGCCAATATCCCTCTGATTTACATTTGTTTTGAGGTTATTCCAGTAATGCAGCCAGTGTGGCATTAATATTAATATTTAGGCATTGCTGCCAATATGATGATGGGAAAGACTGCACAGTCAAGGTTAGAGACAGACAAAGCTGAAGATGCATGCAGACTTTTTTCTTTTCCTCAAACCAATTGTTTCCTGTAGCTTCAGGCTATCTATGCATACATAGCCCTATGTCTATGGCAAGTTCTGTAGGGAGAAACAGTGTCTTAGGGAGAAACAGTGTCTTCCATCAAGTCAGAAAATGTAGTCAGAGTGCAAAATCTAGTCTGCTGGACACAACAAACTCCAGTTTACAGTCTGTGTACAGGGAATGGACAACATTATCTCTGTTCTACACAACATTCCATGAGGATTTCAGAAGACTTCCTTACTCACACACAGTGCAGTGTCCTTTTTCATTATGAGAAAAGATATTTGCTCTGAAATGGCAAAGGGGGATGAGGAGTTCTGTGATGCAGACAGCTCTAATGGGACCTAGACCGAAAGCAAGAGTCTCATTTCACTCTTCTGTCATGGAAAGTTCAACACTGAGTTACCATCAGTGTCAAGCAATGTCAACCAAGCAGCATCCTCATGGGAGAGCAACCATTTCTCCTCAGTAGAGCCACTTGCCTCTTCAGGCTTTGGCTGAAACCTCACACATGAAAGACCTAGTAAAGGATGTAGTCTCACCATGACAGTGATATGTGAATAACAACAGAGCTAACAGTAAGTGCTCATTAGCCAGTAGTTCAAAAGTTACAACAATGGATTTCTAAGATCTGTAGATGTAAACAAGAAATTTTTTTTTCACAGTTGAGACTTTTAAAAAAGTCATGGCTACAACTTCACTGAGCTTCTATAAAACAAGGTGAGAAGAATAAAATGATTTGATATCTGCTGCCTATTATGTCAGGAAGTGTAGAAGTAATGCTCAGAACGCTGTTGTGCCTTCCTGGCTGGTTTGTAAGGTGCCAAATGTCTCTGCAATGGCTCATTAGAAGCAGGTC